TACCAGAACGATCACTTGTCTGCATATTTTCATAAACAAGAGTTTGGATTCCTTTTTCTTTTCCTTTTGTTTTGCTAGGTTACTTTTAATCTCATTTCTAAAAATATCTTTTTAATTCTCCTGATCATCATTGGAATTCTCCTTTATAACCTTTTTCTTTTGTACATAGATTTGTTGATTTTGTCTCTGAACTACTTAATGAATTCTGTATAATGCTTTGGTAGTGGTATGAATACTTATATGTTCATACAGAAAATACCTTCCTGAATGCTAATACTGCCCTAACATGCTTCTCCACACCTGCTTTCTCTTGATTTTCTTAAAAGTGAGCTGTGCCCTCTGTCCCTTATCTCAGCGTTCAGGCTAGAGTAGCAGCTATAGTAATTAGTCTCTTAAATGAATATCTGAGAAGTGAAATAATATTTAATATGATTGTTTCAGTTCATCGTATCAACTAATGCTTCCTGTATGATAATTAGCTGCATCTTGTGGTCCAAATTTAAGGAGTCTTCTATTATATTTGTTTCTGAACCATTCTCCTAATGAGGTTGGAAGGCCAGTGCCTTGGTTAGTCGAGTGGATAAGGACGGGGCTTGTCTGCCGTCCCTTCTCTGATATCCTGGCCATGGTGCACAATGAAGAGCTTGAACTGCCTCCGACAGAACTCCCAGTTAATTGTTTCCATTTTCTTTTCCTCACATCTTGTCACTTAACCAGCTTTATTACTTAGGTATTGATATACTTGCCTGCAGCCAGCATCTTTTCTTTGGTGTGAACCGTTCAACAGTGTGAGCATATTAAAAAATGTCATTGTAGTGTCAGTGAAAAACTTTCTTATATGAAAGATTAAGAAAAGATTACTTTGTGATCATATTTATTTTGGTAGGAGAGTTGTTCTTTGTTTCTAAATTTCTTTAATATGTCTATTAAAAGAACTACATGATGAATTCTCGTTGTTATGTATTTCAGAGATGTTTATAGTTGATTAACATTTAATGCCTTGCTTCTGATTATGCCTTTTCAGAAGAATTTACTCTCCTAGGCTGTAGCAATTGAAAGCAATCCTGTAATGTGAATAACATTATAAAATCTAAAATATTATCATTTCTTCTTAGAGGTATGAATTTTTCCTTATTGTGGTCTGCCTCAGAATAACTTTCTTACTCCAGTCCATTTTTAGAAATAATTTTGCTTTTGTGTATCAATGCCTGCTGGATGACAGCCAGTCAAATTAGGTAGGTTTTCCTGTTTGACTCTTCCCATTTCCCAAAACCTGCTTCAGACTGAGAAGTTGAGGTATGTTCTGATGTCCTTGTGATAGGTTTCCATTCATCACTTTGTTTTCCTGGTAAGCTGTTTTTCCTTTGTTTGCTTTTGTTTTTTTGTTAGGATGTCTTTCTTTCCCTTTTGGGTAATACATTAGTGAGAGTAAGGCCTGAGTATAAGGCAAGAAATGAGAACTTTGAGAGCATCATTATGAAAATTTGCAAAGGTCAGAAGGCGGATGTGGAAGTCTAGGATGCAGCAGTGACTGGGGAGTATCTGTCACTATGGGACCATGATGCTGGGTAGGCATTTGACTTCTGCAGTATGTGGCAAATACATTGTTATGTGGAGAAAAGTGGAAAAAAAAGTCAGTTTTGTATTCTTAATATGCAGGCATGGTCAGAATGTTGAAAGATAGTAGGTTGGTGAAGTATCAGGTGTTTGATCACGCGAACATTCAGTGTAAGAGGAAGGGCATTAGAATAATTAGGAGTTTGGGGCGTTCTCTGAGATGTTTCAGCTGTCTTGCGCATTCTACAGAAGAGAGAACCTTATTCTACAAAATCAGTTTTATCAAGCTAATACTCTTTTCTAACTTCTTATTTTCTTCCCAAGGAATCATATTTTGATAATTGCAAGCTTGATGATAACTGGTCTGAATGATTGCATGAATGTCAGCTGAATAACTGGTGTCACTTGGTGGCTGAAGGTGTGTAACCTTTCCCTGGCAATTCTTGGAGACATTAACTTTCTGGTAGAAGGCAGTAATAATAGTAAACCTCCTGCTGTCATGATGTGCCTTGTTCAGGAACGTAATGGCACTTTTCAAAAGTGTTTTAACCTTCACATTGCCCTTATGTTACAGAAATGGGCTATGGTTATACCCATAAACAGCAAGTGTCACCTTAACCACAGTTCACTGCATTTCTAGCACTTTTCCAGGATGGATTGTGTGCTCTGGATGCTGTCAGTAGCTTTTGGTCTGTTCAGTTGGGCACCTCTGTTTTCTGAGTGCATTGGTAGCAGATTTGTCTGACTTAATTTAAAATTTCTTTGCAAATCATGTGTAAAGTCAACCCTTCTAAGTAGCTGCATAGACTAAACTGAGAGGATATTAAGCAGGAAAATGTGCCCCAGGATACGAAAGCTGAGCAGCACCCAACCAACCAGGTGGAGAAGAGCAGCTGGGTTGAGTGGGTAGGTCGCCTGCCTGAGGACAGGTCGTGTGTCTGAGGTCAGAGCCCTTGGCCCTGATGGCTATGAACTGTGCTGTATCCTTATTATAACTGGTGAATCTCAACTAATTTTCACCTGATTCATATTAAATTTTCTGACTTTTTTTCTGACTTTGTCATGCTGAAAGAAATTTGTAGATGGAAATTTTTTTCCAAGGTGTTATGTTTCTGTAAGCTGAACTGTTGCAACTTGGCACGCAGTCAGAATAACTTCTTTCATAATTCAGTAATGTTAAAAACCCGGCTGACATTTGCAGTGTGGAAAAGGAGCAAATGAAATTAGCGTGAGCCTGTGGAGGCAACCCCGCTTGAAGCACAGTATTCTCCTGTGTAATTGGCTTCCAAGCTGCACTCTTATGCGTGAGATATCGTTATATAGGAGTCTGGCCTGAACTCTAAATGGCAAGCTCCAGTAGTATGGAGAACCCTGTTGTAATCTCCCAGCTTCACCATAAATTAAAGTTATGTAATTAAAAACAAAAACCGAAAGTAGCTCTTTTGCAGAGCATAATGGTTTTGATTGTGCACACCTAATAAAATCCATGTGTAGACCTTGCCATCTTTGCCTCACAAATTCACTTCACTGAATGATTCAAAGATACCCTTCCTGGGAGTATGTGCTATTTCTCTAAAGCTTCTAATGGTATCCTCATTTGCAGGGCCTGGGAGAGGATGAATATTAGGGACTGGCTTTGAGTAGCATCCTGTAAGAAAATTGCCAAGCCTCTATTCTTTACTGTTCCTCAAAAGAGGGACATGGAACAGTTTTTCCTCCTCCATACTTACCGCAAGGTCTATTCTATGTTTACACCTCCAACCTTCTTTTTGGAGGACGTTGTTCCCGGTGCCCTGAAATTCAATCATCTTTTCTCATTTCCTTGTTACTCTTATGAACAGCAGGGAAGATATTTATGGAGCAGTCGATAAAACAGCCTTTCCAGGATGATATTTTGCACCCTTGAAGTACCATGGATTTTTAGCTAAGATTGGTCTGTTATAAAGAGGACTACTTTGAAAACAGCCCATCTAGAAGATGCTGGAATCGTTATAGAGCAGTAGGGAGGAAAGAGCTGCTCTCCTGCAAGGAGTGATGAGGATGGCAGAGAGCAAGGTGTAGATGTTCTCAATACAGGCCCTGCAGAGCTGCTAAACGTCTGGCCCACATGCAGACTTAGTCATGAATTCCCTAACCTGGTGAGAATTGGAAGCTTAGGGTGTATCAGAGAATTGCTTGATCCTTGTTTTGCTGTTGAGCTTTTCCTAAGCCTTTGCTGCCAGCTACCATTAGAGGCAGAGTCGCTTGGCTGACAGAGTCGGTCTTAGTATCAAAAGATCTTCCTGGATCTTCTGGGAGCAGGAAGATGTTTTTCTCTTGCCAATTCGCAAAAGGAGAGCAGAGACGTGAGCCGGCGCCACAGAGCAGCTCTCCCGAGGCCGGGGTATCCTTCCTCCCTGCCTTGCTCCAGCAGGAGCATCCCAACACACTGGCTCCAACCATCATCTCATCTGCGCTGGCTTTGAGAAAGGGCACGCATTCCCGGATTTTCCTGGGAGAGCTTCTCTTTCCCACATGCACTGTCTCCATCTGCTTGACTGTAATTAGTTAAAACACTGATAGGAAAGACACAGAAGAAATATTTCTGGTAGTGGCATGTGTTTGCGAATGTGCCTGCATGTCGAGCAGACAAAGGGCGAGCTGAATGCTGGTTTTTCTGCAGTGTGTTCTGGTGAGCTTCGAAAAAGGCTCGAATATTTTTTTAATGTTTTCTTGACACTTTTATGTGGCTTTTTATGCCTGGTGGGCTGCTCGGTTCAAGGAGCTGCCAGTGTCTTCTGGAAGGTTCCGCAGTGCAGCGGCTCTGTGACCAAAGGCCCCTGGCACCATTTTGTTGTCCAGTGGGCTCCGCTCCTCACTTGGGTGTCTGGCCTTTTTCCTAGCACGTATGAGACAGCTTTATACTCCAGAGAAGTTGAGAAAAAGTTGTTTTTGTATAATAATAATAATAATAATAATGATGGTGGTGATGGAATTGCACATCAGGAATACTGTGTGGCCCTGTTTTTTCCCCAGGGTGGAGAGCAGGCTGTAGCTCTGTGTGAACTCAGAGCTGTGAACACTTAGTGCCTTTTTATGTAAAACCCCGAGTTAGTTCTTTTGATTTAGTTATGTGGACTTGGATCATGGCATCTCTGATTCAAAAGAGATGATTCCATTGTCTTTGCAGGATGCTTTTTATTTAGTCTTAATAGGCACGCGGTGTGAATTAGAGTAAGGTGTTCTTTGTTTCATTGAATAAAACACTGAATTTGAGATCCAGTCACTTGTAACCAGTGTGTTTGCCCACAGCAAGCTATTTAGACCTTTTTTTTGAGGGGGCAGAGGCAGGAACCTGGAAATAATTTCACTGAAAGAATACATAGGGATACAATGTTTCATGTGAAAAGAAGCTGTAATATCTGTTTCCGTTTCATTAAGGGCATTTAAATTTGTTTTTGTAGGTGTGGCATCTATGACAGTGCCAGTGTACATCGCCGAAGTTGCTCCGCCACACTTAAGAGGCAGATTAGTTACCATTAATACGCTCTTCATCACGGGAGGGCAGTTTTTCGCAAGTGTCATCGATGGACTCTTCAGCTACCTCGCAAAGGATGGATGGAGGTTTGTGGACTGTTGCATTTAAAACCAAGATTTTTATGATTTTGGCAAACCTAGATAAATATACTGAAAAAAACTTACTGTACAACAACTATCATAATTCAGAGGGGTAAAACAGAGTTCACATATAAAGTGGTAAATCTATAAATTGAAATGGGACTTTACTGCTGAATACTATGCATGCTGCTTTCACTTGAGACTTAATACTTGAAACCTATTTAGCTTTTATGACTTTATAGTGAGTTTTAAAATGCATGACCAATAAATATATATCAGAAAGCTTTAATGATTGTAGTGAAGATTGTAGTATATAAGCAGCTTGTCTCTTGCCTTTAAAATGCATTATTATTTCATTTTATTTTTCCCCAAACAGACAAACTTCCAGCAAATATGGTGCTATAGGTACAAAATAATGGTATAAATAGAATATTCTTAATTTGAGGAATAGTCATTCAAACAGAATTGAAGTAAAGGTTATTGTAGCATAATGTTGTGGTTGAAGTTTAGATTACAGAATGATATGGCTCTCTTTTGCTCCACTTTCTGGATATTACATTCTTCCTCCAGTAATTGCGAAGTGTTTCTGAACTGCTGCTGTATACTTTATTTATGATGATGCACCCTTTGAGAGAGAGAGAGACTAGAAATCTATATCTCTAGGAATTCTGTAGTCTGGCTTTGCAACTGCTCAGATGTCCCTCTATTGATTTTTCATATTAGTGATCCAGGATTATTTACTGGAATTTATAGAACAAAAATCAACAGAGACAATGAAAAAGCCTCCATTCTTCAAGAGTGGTTCCACTTAGTGGCTCTTTGAGGAGGATGAGAATATCTTCGGTTCTTGTGGCCAATCCTTAGTAAATTTTCTTAGAAAATACAGAGAAAAAATCCCAAACTCTTAGGTGTCAAAGTTTTTTTAGGATGTCTTGTGAACTTTATTAATTTTATAATTTGTACCTTTTTTTGTTTCACTTTCTTTTAAAGTCCCGTGCTCTCCTGTAGTGTTTCTGTCTGCTGTAGATCCATTGTCATTCAAAAAGACAGGCCTTCAGAAAAATCACTTGCTCTGCATCAAGAAATTCCATAAATATATCATCACTGCAAATTGTGTGACAGTGGTATGAACCAAGAAAAATGAAATGTTTGCCATTAAAAGCCTCTCTGACTAGTGCTCAAACAATGAGGTGGACCTCCTGAGGTGTCACATTAGAGCAGTGGTCTTGATGACAAGCTGAGGAAGTGCAGGGTAGATGAATAGATGGTGAGGTGGATTGCAGAGCTCAAAGGTTATGATCAGTGGTTCAGAGTTCAGACTCTATCTGGGCAGCTGTATTGGGTCCAGTAGTGCTGAATTTATTCATCAGTCACCAGGATGAAGGGACAGAGCTCACCCTCAGCAGGTTTGCAGGTGATGCAAAAGGGGAGAAGTGGCTGATAACCCAGAGGGCTGTAGAGCCAGTCAGGGGGACCTGGGCAGGCGGAGAGATCAGCAGAGAGGAACCTCATGAAGTCCAAAAAAGGGAAGTGCAGGGTCCTTTACCTGGGGAGGAGTAACTCCCTCCACCAATAAAGGCTGGGCGCTGGCCTGCTGGAGAACAGCTCTGCCGAAAAGGATCTGGCGGTCCTGTTGAAGAAGTTGACCATGAGCCAGTGATGTGTCCTTGGGACCAAGAAGGTCAAGGGTGTCCTGGGACCATTAGGAAGAGTGTTGTCAGCAGATTGAGTGAGGTAGTCCTGCCGCTCTGCTCAGCCCTGGTGAGGCCACATCTGGAGCACTGTATCCAGTGCTGGGCTCCCTGATAGAAGACAGACATGGAGCTATGACTAGAGCAAGTCAGTGGAGGGCTGCTAAGATGATTAAGAGCCTGGAACATCTCTCATCTGAGGAAAGGCTGAGAGAGCTGGGACTATTCAGCCTGGAGAAGACTGAGAGGGACAGATCTTGTCCGTGTGTTAAAGTGTCTGAAGGGAGGGTGTCAAGAGATGGGGCTAGACTCTTCTCTCTGATGCCCAATGATAGGACAAGAGGCAATGGGTACAAACTGAAACCCAGGCAGTTCCCTGTGAACACGAAGAAAAACTTCTTTGCTGTGAGTTAACTGACACGAGTTGCCCAGAAAAGTAGTCGAGTCTCCTTCGTTGGAGATGTTCAAAAGCCATCTGGACAACGTGTTCTAGGTGATGCTGCTTGAGCAGGGAGGTTGGACTAGGGGGTCTACAGAGGTCTCTTCCAACCTCAACCATTCTGTGAAATAGTCTTAATTTTTTTTTTTTTTAAGGGTAGAGTAACTACACCTTTCCTGCACTCCCAGAAATGTGTTTAGTTTTGAGAAGAGATAAATGAAGCAGAAATCCATTTTTGGTTAAAATACTAAATACTAGCTGAAGTATTTGATCTTACAGCCAATTATCCTGTAGGTTAATGACTCCCAAGACATGAGGCCAGACTTACAAGAAAAGAACGGGGAAAATACTGCAACTCTCAAAGTAGCAGAAATAAACTGTGGAAAACAAAGAATGGATCTGCTAGTCTCTCTCAACCACAGAAAAGTAATGATGTATTTTACATACATGCCAGGTCCGATTCTGGCTGATTAAGGGAAGCTAAGTGCAGAGAGACTGTTGAAGATGCGCTGGGCAGAAATTGAGGCTATGCTGCAGATCAGGTACCCAGCAATTCTCCCTCAGCTCCAGGGTGGAGCTCTTACTTGGGGAATGTTTCCTTGTCTGTCTGTCCTTAGCTACGTTATTGCAGCCTGAGCCTGAGCTGAAAAGCATGCAGGTTTGTCGCATGGAAAGA